ACACACACACACACACACACACACACAGACACCCACACAGACACCCACACAGACACCCACAGACACCCACAGACACCCACAGACACCCACAGACACACACAGACACACACAGAGACACACAGAGACACACAGAGACACACAGAGACACACAGAGACACACAGAGACACACAGAGACACACAGAGACACACAGAGACACACCCAGAGACACACCCAGAGACACACCCAGAGACACACCCAGAGACACACCCAGAGACACACCCAGAGACACACCCAGAGACACACACAGACACACACAGACACACACACACACACACACACACACACAGACACACACAGACACACAGACAGACACACAGACAGACACACAGACACACACAGACACACACAGACACACACAGACACACACAGACACACACAGACACACACAGACACACACAGACACACGCGCACACAAGCACACACACACAACACACACACACACACACACACACACACACAAACACAGCCATACACACACACACACACACACAAAACCCCTAAACCTAACCTAACCCTAAACCCTTTCTGCAGCAGGCTTGCCGAAACGGTTTAAACCCTGAACCCTAAACCCTATATATAAGTGAACCCTGGGCACTGGCCGTACAGGAAATGCAGCTCGATGTAGAGTTCATCGACGAGACTGTGCTTTTGCGACAGGAGGTCCGCCAACAAGCCCCATTCAAGGGTCCCAAAAATGCCCACCAAGTCTGTGTCCCACATGAGCACTACAAAGTCATCCTCTTTCACCTGGTTCCGGCAATACTCTTTTAAAGCCAGTGTTTCGTAAACAGTTGATGGATGCGCACCTCCTAGCCTTTTCTTCAACACACAAGATCATTCTGGATGCCATCAGAGCCGCAAGTGAAGGCAGCATGTAGATCAGATCTGATTCGTCTCTGGTTGCGACGTGCAGGGATGCTTGCCTAAACGCGACTCGTGACTCGGTGGTGTTGAAGATGGCGGGCACCTCCAGAGCATGGGCATCGAAGATGATAACTTCATCGAATGAGAAGTAGGGCCTGTACATGTCAAGCAAGTACTTAGGAGCCCGGTTGAATTCGTTGCCACCTGCCACGATGAGGATCCGTCGCCCATCGGTGGCGAAGCCAGGGGTCGCAGGAAGTGGCAGGTAGGCCGTGAAGTCGATCATTGCATGGTGCTCGTGATACCACATGTTCCGCAAATCTGGGAACAAAGGCTCCAGCAGCATGGACCGCTTTGGGTACGGCTTCATCCCCCCACACAGCTTGCGAGGCAACGGATGTTCGGCACAAGGCGGCACTTCAACCAGCTGCTTCTCCGCCATTCCACTTGCCTTACAGTCGTTTCCGGGACGTGGCAACAATGTTGGGGTGTTTGACCTGGTTGTTGATGGGTTTTTGCTCCGGTCTAGCGTGTGAGGGCATCAAACATCACGGTTTTTCTCAGAGGGAACCCTATTCGATGCATTTGAAAGTAAACACCTCCTGTCTTGCTGAGAGCTGTGAAAGTTCGACCCAAGACGTCCCCAAGTCACAATGTACTGAGAGAGCAGCTCGTGCTGCCTGCGCACCACTGCTTCGAGCTGGGGAACTTGGCGCTCCCACGCAAGCACATTAAGCATGTTCCAGGCAGATGCGCAGGCAGACATTTGCGAACATGCTTCGCTGGCTTGGCCGGCTTCGCTTTCGCGTAGCTTTGCTGGGTCCGGCTTCTGTATGCAGGCTTGGATGAAGTCCTCCGCGCCTGACATGTTGTACTGCTTTTTGAGTTGGTGCATTTGGTGTTGGTGAATCGGCGCATGCTGGAACACTGCCCCAGTGCATCTGTTCTGTTGCTTCCTCAGTCTTACGTCAGCAACGGGACCAGAAACCTTCAAGCCACTGCAAGCATAGCGGTGCTCAGCGGAAGCTGCCATCTGGATGGGGTCCGCATGCTTCGGAAAGGGAAGGCTGCAGTTTCCAGCTGTCACTCTACTCTTGACTCCCTCGTCGCAGACCGGAAACCCCGGAAAGCTCCGCACTGAAGGTGCTGAAGTCACTGAAGGTGCTGAAGTCACTGAAGGTGCTGATGTCACTGAGGGTGCTGAAGTCACTGAAGCTACTGAAGTCACTGAAGGTGCTGCAGTCGATGTCGCTGAAGTCACTGCAGCTTCAGCATCTTCAGCATTCGCAGCTTCGAAGCTGAGGTCAAAGGAGCCAGGCCCCTGCATGAACTTGGACAGGCTGGCTGTCGCAAGCCTCCCCTGCCTCGGCGACACCTGCAAGCGCGAAATCTGGGTCACCAGGACAGCCGACCCACTCGTCTGCACCAGCACGTTCTGCCCCAGGTGCCCTTCTCCGCCTTCGCCCGGGTTTTCCAGGTCATTCCCGAGACGGCTTACTTATATAATATTGTATATAGTTGTTGCTGGGGGCCCTTTTGCGAAGGAGCTTGAATTACGCTATAAACCATGAGGATGCAACATTTTTCCACTATTATGTGACCCGATTCTGGCACCTTAAAGTTGAATGTCTTCAACGAGAGCCCAGGTTAAGGTTGCGCATGCTGGGTGGCATACACTCTTGGTGCCTTGGTTGTGGCACTTAGCAGGACTGCGAAGGAAGGTCGAAGCCCTAGCGGTGCATTTTTGCAGTTGAGTCTTTCAGTCCAACATCCTCACTCCTAGCCGCAGGTATCGTTTGTAGCTAGCAGGCTCTTCGGGCCATGTGCACTGGGTAAGCACTTTGGGGGCGATACCTGGGCCGCTGAACCAGAAACTGCAAGAAGCTTACCCTCCTTAGCAAAACCGTGGAGTGTCCGCATCAACACGAGGCGCATTTGTTTGCAGCTGCCCTAAACCCTGAACCCTAAACCCTTAACCCTATAGGCCCAAATAGCCCCAAATAAGCAGGTGCACACTCCGACGCACCATAGGCCCGACCTCCGTGAGCCAACATCCAGCCGCCAGCCAAGTGATAACCCGCGAATCCCCGGCCCAGAAATTGAAGGCCGCTTCTTTCAAAGTCCTCGGTTGAGGGAACTCCCTAGGCCCTAAACCCTAAGCCCTAAACCCAAAAGCATAAACACACTCAGAGCTGCAAACACAGAGAGCTCCCCATCTTTCAGGCGTTCTGGAGTCATGGCAATGCAGCCATGATTATGCGAAGAAGCCATTCAGAAATTCCCCAACACATCAAGACCGAGCACCGCAGACCCTGTAGGCCACAGAGGCTGTAGCAGCAAATCCTGTACCCTGTCGCTCCAAGACGAGAGACTGTGGCTGGCGGGTTCTCACGGAAGCTCGCAACAGCCTGCAGTTGGGATGTTCCCCCTTACAACAACAGTCATTAATAAGGATGATATACCCCCCCCCCCCCCCCCCCCCCCCCCCCTTTGTAATCCCTATTAAGGACTGCTGGTATAAGGGGGAAGACCCCAAGCCTGCAGCAACGTGGCTTCGAGATTCTGCTGGGGGCCGAGGCTCGAGATGCAAGGCTCATGGCGGCATTTCGGGCAGACCCGACCCTAAACTCCCCCTCCACGGCCTCTAAAGAAACGATCTATAAAAGCCCCCAGCCCCCTCTAAAGCCCTCTACAAAGAAAAAGCCCTCTTCAGCTGAAAGTTCGGCGCGGCCTCCGGGAAGTAGACCTGGAGCTGGTCCGTGAGGACCTCCCTGAAGCCGGCTTCCGAGAGCAGGCACTGCTTGCAGGAGCGCCGCAGGCTGATGCCTTGGGGCTCTTTTGGGGGGGTTGCGGGGCGTCTGGGGATTTTTGTTGAGGCTTGAGGCTTTGGGGGGGTAGTTCGGGTGTTTTGGGGATGTTTGGGGCTCGGGTTGCTATAGTTTTTTTGGGTGGAAGGGTGGTGTGGGTGTCGCTTCGGCCGCACGCCAGGATGCCCAGGAGGAAGAGGTCGTAGGCAGTGCTGCAGAGGCCGATGCCGGCCCGTAGGTTGCGTTCGTAGACGCTGGTGCCGGGAGCCTGGTAACAGGCAGGTCGGTCTTCGCTCCGAAAGTATGTGCCTTGCGAGATTCCAAGGGGGTCGAAGAGGATCTGCCGTGCGGCGGTCGGCAAGTCCAGTCCCGTTGCACGTTCAATGGCCCGTTCCACCACCGCCCACTGCATGTTGGAGTAAACGAACCTTTCCCCCGGCACGACCGTGTCGTTGACAGCGCTGAGCGCACGCTCCGCCAGCTCCGAAGCAGGTCGCACACGCTTCGTGACCCATCCGGGAAGCCACTGCCACATTGGAAGACCGCCGACACCCGCCATAACATGCCGGAGCGTGAGCTTCTTCACGACTTGATGGTTTTTCAAATCACCCCAGCGGCCCGGGAGCTGTAGAAATCCGAGGATCCCTTCATCCAAGCCTGGCAGTCGCCCCATTTCGACGAGCCGAACCACCAGCAGGGCCGTCGCCAGCTTTCCTGCACACCGTGTCCACGTCGTGCCCCAAAAGACGTCGTCAGGTCCTGAAGGCCAAACCTGCAGTGGCCAGCCGCTGTGGCTTTGGCCGATCACGACCAGTGGGGCTCCCTTTAGGAGGCCTCCCTCAGAAAGGTTTCCGGAGCTTCCGCTTGAGCTTGAGCTCCCACTTGAGCTCGCGTGCGCGGCTGGATGACTCGGCTTGGACAGCGCGGCCGCCGCCGTCACCCTGCCAGTGTGCACCGCGACGGCTCCAGCGGACATGCAGTCTGGTATCACCTCAAGCTTGCTCTACATGATGATCCCTTTTGGATCCCTGTACTGTGCTACAAAACAGCTCCCGCTACTGAAACAAGAAAGACTTCCACCCCCCGAAACACCTGGGTCAGGTCGTGCATCACGAGGCTCCAGAGCTCCTCCTGTCCCAAATCGCAGACCAGCCTCCGCGGAGGGGACAAAAAACACGCACCGGATCTTCGCACCCTAAGCCCGGGGCATCCAAACCACCCTAAGCCCTGCACCCTAAGCACCCTAAGCACCCTAAGCACCTAAGCACCCTAAGCACCCTAAGCCCAAGCCCAGACTGCAGCAGGGACCCGCCTGAGGCCTCGCGCACGCTCTGAGGCCACCGACAGCTGCCGCGGCGTGACGTAGACCGCAGCGACGGAGCGGAGGGCCTCCACAGAAACCAAATGATCGAGCAGATGACGTGCATATGTGCATATGTATACACACAGAAACAAACCAACAAAACACAAATACATAAATAAACAAATAAAGAAATACACAAATAAACAAATAAACAAATACACAAATAAACAAATAAACAAATAAACAAATGAACAAATGAACAAACGAACAAATGAACAAATGAACAAATGAACAAATAAAGAAACAAACAAACCAATAAATGAAATAAACAAAATCAATAAAGAAACAAATAAGTAATCAATGAAAACTAGACAAAAAAGTAATAGATAAAGGACAATGCATAACGTTGCTAGTTGCACGGTGCTAGCACTACATGTCTACTACATACACATACGCATCTATGTCTATGTGTCTTTCAACGAAGCTGCGATTGAGTTTGTGTGGTACGAGGCAGATCATACATGGTCTTTGCGCCATATTCTGCCAAGTGAACTCGGGGGATCCTCCTCCTTACCATCTCAACCCTGAACCACACCTTTTGCATCCAGGTCTCTTGCACCCTGAACCCAAAAACCCTCAACCTAAAGCCCTAAACCCTCTTAAAACCCCCTCAAAACCCTCTTAAACCCCCCAATTCCCTCCATTCCGCCTCCTCCTGGAAGAGCGCCTCCAGTGCCTCCAGCGCCGCCAGCGCCTCTACTAAGTGCTTCAGAAACACTCTCCCCCCCCCCCCCCCACAAAAAAAAAACAATCCTTATCAGGAGTGACTATCATTATTTTTTAAACCAAATTTTTTGGAGGCTCTGAAGCGACTAGTAGGCCTCCAGGGCGTCGGTCCGGCCCTCTAAGGCCGGGATGCCCAGCGCCAGTCTGAAGGGCCACCGCCAGGGAAAGAGCTCTCGGAGGTGTCGGGCCTGGCAGGGTTTTGAGGGGTTTTATGGGCCTGAACCCCCCCCAACTACCCTTTAATATAAAGGGGGGTGTATGTACCCTACTATTATGCTTAAAGGGTAGTTGGGGGGCTTTATGGGTTTTATGGGGTTGAGGGTTTCGGGCTCAGTTTAGGGTTCAGGGCGTAGGGTCTAGGGGACTTTTGTTGGCTCACCCCCCAAGGGCCCGCTCTGCAGGGAACTCTCAGATGGCCGAGCGTCTTCCCCAGCACCCGCAATTCATCCCGCACCAGAGGGCTTAAATAGGGTTTAGGGTTGGGCCTCGCTGAAGAAGCGCACCGTCGTGAGCTCCGGCCGGGCGGACCGCGGGTGGTTCCGCAGCAGCCGGTCCAAGACGTGCGCGGAGCGCAGCTGCTGAGCAAAGGTCTCGGACTTCAAGTCCAAGGTCAGGGGAAGCTCCGGAAAGGCTTCCAGGAAGTCCTCTACCTTGGGGAACTACATGAACCCCCTAAAATTGGGGTCGTCTACCCTCTCCTATACTATCATTCTTATGAAGGTAATATGAACCATAGATCCCTTTAGGGTCCATTTCGTCCCCAAGGTACATAGTTGAGGGGCTGCCCCAAACACTCCAGTTGCTCCAGCTCCGAGGCATCGAAGCCTGCGAGCATGTAGGTGTGCTTGTAGTGCTGGCAGGGCGGGGACCGGAGCTCCAGGCTGCTTGCATCGAGGCTCCCCAGGTTCCTCAATTTGGGGGCTGCTCTTGTCATTTGAAGTTGGGGGGAGACATCATTACCCCCCTCCCCCGCCCCCCCCCGAATCACAAGGCTCCGTGATTCTGGGTATGACGTTTCTTCGGAGGTTCCTTGAGAAGGTGGGGAAGTCGAAGAGCGGCAGCCAGTGGGTGGCGCTGTGTGCGGCTACGAGCCGCTCATCGGCCGTCAGGATAAGGTCCAGGTTCAGGCCGTCAGCGCCCGCTTCCACACCTGCTTGATATGGGGGGATGCCTTTTAATGACTCCTCACAATGTAACGCAGCGGTCCCACCCGCCCCCACACCCCAAAGTGAAGCTTCCCCTTTCTCCTGGTAAAAAGAAAGGGCTCCCAACGAAAGTCCCCGAAATACCCCTCCTACCCTCCCCTCCCCCCAAAAACCAAAAAAGGGCCGCTGAGGGCCGGGTGACTCCGCTGTGCTGCCAGGAGTGAGTTTGCTGGCCCGTGGAGCAGCCCACAGTCCAAGGCGATGATCTCCAGCTTCTCGGAAGGTGGCCTTTCAGGGTTTAGGGTTTAGGGTTGAGGGTTGAGGGTTTAGGGTTTATTAGGGTTGAGGGTTGAGGGTTTAGGGTTTAGGGGGGCCTCCCAGGGCTCGCAGGAACGCTCTTGCGGCTCTCGGGGTCTCCCCTGGGTGGCACCGGAGATGCCCAGAAGCCGCAGATCCAAGCCAGGCTGAATCCTCTACTCCCCTTAAAGAACCTTAACAAAACATAACATTTTTAATATCCTCAATTGGGTTTTATATACAACAAAATGAAAAAATGATCCCCTTATAGAACCTTAACAAACATAATATGTTTTTTAATATCCTCTTGGGTTTTATATACAACAAAAATCCTATACTCCCCTTTAGAACCTTAACAAACTAATATCCTCTTGGGCCTTATATACAACAAAATTATAACATGTTGAATATCCTCTTGGGTTTTATATATAACAAAAAAGAGAAATAATTCCCAAAGGGGATGCAGAATCCAAGGGCGCAGGCCGTGCAGAAACGCGTTTTGTTCATCTCGGCAGTCAGGCGGAGCGCAAGCGCATGGCGAAGCTCTGGCTTTACTAAGATTTCGACGAAACGACCTATGGGGGCTCCTATGTAGTACCTTTTTTGGGTAGTATACTAAGAATTCTGTTAAACTACCTATAGGGGCTCTCGTATGTAGTACCTTTTTTGGGCGTGGAATCCCCCTATCAGTAACCCAGAAGGGGACTACATTGGAGACTCCGGGTGTTCAAAGGGATGTAAGATCCATGCGGTTGAGGGTTCAGGGTTCAGGGTTTTGACAGTTCGCTCTTGTCTCAAGTCGGGGTCACCCAACCCTAGCTGAGGCGAGTTGAAGCATCTGGGCTCTCATGCTGCTTCCGAAGCGTCTTGAAGCATCTCCTATCGCATGGACAAGGGAAGGGTAAAACTCTGAGGTAGGGGAGGGGCCGTCCTGAGTCCCTTCCTGAGCCAGAGAGTCAGGTACAAGTAGATCGGGCTTATAGGATGAGGGTTTGTAGGTAGGGTTCATAAGATTTTGACGTATAAAAGCCCTACAGAGCTTGAAAATAGGCACCTGCGCAACACATGTCAGAATGAGTGGGGCATGCTTGGCCGTCAGGGGGGCCACGACTTTGCCATGTAAACATCTCCCTGGCTGAAGCCTCATGTTCAGTGCGGAGTGAGCAAAATATCCCTTTTCATTTTTCTTGCCAAAGGATTCTTCAGGGTTTGAACTCACAGAGCCCCTAAACCCCACAGCTTGGCATGTTTCCCCCTTGTACTAAGAGTTCTTAAGGGGGGAGTATAATAGGGGTACTATAATCCCTCTCAAGGACTGCTAGAAGGGGGAGCGGCTGGCGCCTTTCCACTTTCAGAACGTCGTCGCCTGGAGCTCAATGGCCAGGAGCTTGAGGATTTCCTGTGTGTGTAGTGGGCTTAAAGGTTTCAGGGCTTAAGGGTTTAAGGGCTTCAGGATTTAAGAGCTTGAGGAGGGTTTAAGGGCTTAAGGGTTAGCTGTATTACATGGCTCGCGTGGAGGCGTGGGTGCGTGGCATGTGGACGCGGTCATCGCGATGCAACCCCCCCCCCCACCTCACCCAAACAAAAAGAACAAAGCACCCACCCTGGCACAGACACCGCACCTATCTGCGATATGCTCGCCCGGGACATCATTGCGCAATCGAACATGTTCTTTCCTTGACTCTCTAGCGGAAATGTGCCGATTCGAACCAGACACGGCCCAACCTCTGCAAGCACAGCCTCGCGAAGCTCCTGGCAGAGGGGTGCGGAGCAATCACCGCAGCCGTAGCTTCATTAAAGCTCCACCGCACATCGGTTTTCAGGAGGTGTCTGGCCACTCCCAGCCAGATGCTGCGCGCAAACGCCCCCCGCATTTCATCGGCCTTGCCCGTAGTGGTAGAGCCCGAGCCTGACTCCTTTATTGTCCCATCCACATTGAGACCTCTGGTCTTGTCTTTTGAGGGCTTATATGATGGGTGAGATGCGGGTTTGCACAAACCCAAGCACTGAAAGAACATACTCCAGGCCCCAGAGTGTACCGCACTGAAAGAGAAGAGGAAAGAGGCCTTCAACTCGCAGCGTCAGTGGAAGATCTGGCGCGAGAAGGGCCACCCAGTTGACAGGCAGCCTCACGCACGGAGCTCAAAGAGCAGTCGGGTTCTACCGAAGCCCGTGAATTGTTCGAGCATAGGGCTTGGCGAGGCTGGGCGAGCTTTTGATAAACGCTGTAGCACTTGTACGGTTCCTGGACGTTCTTGCCCAACCCTGTGCCCTAAGCCCTGAGCCCGAAGCCCTAGACCTTACCTGAGGCACGCGCTCTCATCGTGGCCTCTGGTGCGCAAAACCAAGCCCGGACTTGGTCTAGACGCTCCTATGTAGTACCTTTTTTGGGGTAGTATACTCGAATCCCCCTATAACTACCCCTAAAAGGGACTGCATTGGAGACGCCAGGCCCTAAACCCTAAACCCTAAACCCTAAACCCTAAACCCTAAACCCTAAACCCTAACCCTAAAGTCTTCCGGGCTGTGAGTTTTTGGGTTTTTAGGGGTCCGGGAAGGGCCTGTCGAAGGCGAGGATGATCCGGAGTGTTCAGGCTGACTCTTCCGAGCAATCAAGGACCTCCGGACCCGAGACCCACAACCCCTAAACCCTAAACCCTAAACCCTAACCCTAAACCCTAAACCCTAAACTCTAAACTCTGAACCCTAAACCCTAAACCCATGTCACTTCCCCATCTTGTGTCAACCTTCGCAGCCGGACTGCAGGTAATATGGATGTCGTCAGAGTCATTACCCCGGTTGAGAGCTGAGGGATTAGGGCCATTTGGGGCTGTGGCTTGTGGCTTGAGGGCTCCAAAGTCACCGACCAATCCCCCCTCCATGGCCGCCCCACTGCTTTTTGCAAGCGCATCTTCCGGCGGCGTCAAGACACTTCTGGAGCCTTTGGACGATGTAGTCTCGAAGTGTTGCAGCTGCCTCTTCTCGCCTGGGCAGTAGGCTCCAGCCCATGGGGCCCATGGCTGGAGACATCTGGAGACCTAAGCTCCTCGCCATGTCCATGAGAGCTCCAACAGCCCGACGAAGCTTCATGGGGAAGGGCGTCCGACAACGAGAGCACTCAGAAGGTCCGGGGGGTAGGTAGGAGTCCAGATCCAAGCTGCAGTCCTCTTTCCTTGCAAGTGGCGGCTCTTGAGGAGGCCCCAGCTATCTCCACGCTTCACCCGCGCGGCTCACGATGCGAGCACACCTTTCAGCTTTCCTCGGAAGTCAGGCGAACCCTCAATGGTCTCACGAAACCACTGATGTTGGGGTTCATTTTAGTACCCCAAACCTGAACCGCCCCCCCCCCCCCCCCCCCCCCCCCCCCCCCCCCCCCCCCAAAAAAAAAAAGTCAAGGTTCGTGAGAGAAGTTTTTCCAAGTCCCCCAAAGCCTTCCTCCACATGGCAGCGAGAACGGCTGGAAGCTTCGAGCCTTGGTCTGGCTCTCAGGGTGCTGAACGACTAGTTGCTTATAAGAACCCACCAAAAAACAAAATACAAAAAAAAAACAAAACATAACAGTCCCACTATATGACCCTTATGCGGAAGAAGTTTTTTTGAGGCAAGCAATTGGCAGGTTGGGGGTTATAGGGTTGAACCCCTCGGCCGACACGCGTCTGGAACAGGCAGACCAGAATCTGCACCAAGAGTCACAAATCCGCAAGGGAAACCCCAAAACCCAAACCCCAAACCCTAAACTGCTTGAACCCTGAACAAACCAGGCCTGAAACAAACACGAACTCTGTCGGTTCCCAGTGGTCCTTGCGCCTGTGGCTCGACTGCCAGAAGCCTGCGAAGATTCCCTGAAGCCAGCGCTTGAACCGCCCTGACTTGGCCAAACCCTATAAAACCCAAACCCTCATGCAAACCCACTGCCTATGCCCTAAAACCAAATGCCCTACGAACACTAAGACTAAAACAAAACCTTGATAACCCTAAGCCTTAACATGCTAAAACCCTGAACGCCTCTATAGGCCCCAGGGTCTGTCCAGCAGGGCTGAGTCATCGTCGGCAATTAAATCCTCAAGTCCAAGCAGAAACTCGAAACCCCAAACCCTCAATGAAACATATGAAACCAAGAAGCGGGTGCCGAATTTGGAGTCCCAGACTGCGTCGAAGTTTGCTTGAACTTCTTTCACAGTCTCCGGGAACTTCTCCATCGTAGTCCACACGACAAAGCTCCGCCAGGGAATGTCAGACATGTAGGGCACCACCTGACAGAAACCCTGAAACATTAGCAACCGGCATTCTGAATGGGTCTCAAAAAACCCCCCCCCCCCCCCCCCAGACTACTCAGCCCGAGCACAGCACTTATTTGCACACAGCGTGCCGCAAGGCTCGGGTCTTTGAGTTGGGGCTCCACCGCCCCTCTGCGGAAGCTTCAAGAGTTCGCATGCAAGAGGTCGTCTGAAGGCTCGGAAGGAGACCCAAAGCTGCGTCCTAAACCCCTAAACCCTCCCAAGTGAACCCCCCCGCCGCATCCCCTCTTCCCCTCTCATCTTCAGCCCTAAATGCCCTAAATGCCCTAAATCCTAAACAAGGCGCCGAAGCCTCTGAGATCACGACCACCCCGCAGAGGATGGCAGGCAGGATGCGAAGTTCCTTGGGGTGGTGAGGGGAGCGTTGGCGCTTTGGGATTGGATTCGGGCACAAGGTTTAGGGCTTAGGGTTTGAGGGATGAGGTTATTGAGGAGGTCAGGGTGTGTGTAGGGTGCTTGAACGAAAGAATTGACAAACGCAGCCTTGACTTTGGGCAGCGTCCGCCTACGGGGCTTGCAGGCAGTCGCCGGCTGAGGTTCTTACCCTTCGCCCCCCCCAAACAACAAACCAAAAAGCCAAAGGAGGCCCTCTTCACCCCCTCTTCCTTCCCCCCTAATCAAAAACCATATATATATGTATATATATATATACACATATTCTTTTTGTTAGAAAGCCAAAAGAAGCCTCCTCCTGCCCCCGCTCTGTTCCGGGGCTCCTCAATGGTATGGAACTCCTCCGTCTGATGCACGTTCAGCATGATCCTGAACTGAACTTGGAACCCTAGCAAATCTCATCATTTTCCCCTGCTTCTTAGGAACTAGCCCTAAACCCTAAACCCCTATAGGAATTATAGTCTAAGCCCTAAACCCCTACAGGAGTTATAGATATACTACCCCAAGAATTAAACATGTTCCCAAATATCCTTAAGGATCGCCGTGTGTCGGAGCACCTCCTGGAGTTCCAGGGTTCCATCCTCCAAGCCCAGCAAGTTCCTTTTGAGCTTCTTTTGAGGCGCGCGCGTGCGCGCGGGGGGGGGGGGGGGGGGGTGGGTTAGGGTTCAGGGTCTAGGGTTTAAACGGTTTGGGGTTTTTCCCCGCCTTCGATGTGGGGTTGTTAGATTCAACTCTTCTCATCGCTGGGAACTCCTCGCCCGGTCTACTCCTAGAGACTCCCTGGAGTGCCCACAGAAAAAGGGGGCCCAACCCCAAGAGACTCCCTGGAGTGCCCAACCCCAGAAACAACCTCTCCCGATCCTTAAGTGGGGATGTTCGAAGTAACATCTTTTTTCTTTAGGGTTTCAAAGGGAGACCTTTCAAACCTCTGTCCAGGCGTGGCCTTGAAAACCTTGAAGCCCAAAATCCTAGACCATGAACACGTGCCACTTGATCGTCCCTTGAGCTTCTTGTAGGCTGCAGGCATGGAAGTAAAACAGTAAAACAGTAAAACAGTAAAACAGTAAAACAGTAAAACAGCAACAAAAAAAACATTCCAAAGGCGGTGAGATGGGTTCTGGGTCGAGATGTTGTGCTTCTTGAAGCGCTTCAGCAACTTCGACCTCCGATTTCGCCCATGACGGCCCGTCAGAGTATAAGGCCTCCAAGTGGTGATGGGCATGGCAGGGTCGCGGCCACTCCGTTTGGGGAAGAGGTCGTAAATGAGCGGCGGCACGTACAGGATTGCATCGATCACTTGCGGAGGGAGCACGCGTGCCTCACGAATCGCAACCATGTTCGGCATGGCGTACTCCACGAGGATGCCTGTTGTTGCAGCCTTGCAGTAGCCCTCCTTTTCGAAGCACAAGCTTGGACGAAATCGGTAGAAGGCTGCGTCTCCGTTGATGCTCCTCTCCGTGAGGTTTGGACCCAGGAAGATGTGGTTGCTCGAATACGGCGTCTGCAAAGCAATGGCATGCTCGTGCTGAAAATGGAAACTCAGGTTCTGGACACGCGGCAGCCATTCCGGATGTGAGCGGATCAACTCGCTCAACATCTTATAGAGGACGGGTCTGGTGGGTGGGAAGCCTTGGGTACCCTTAGCCTTAGAAATGTAAAATGACAATGATGTGTGTAACACCTCGGGGTTAAATACACAAACAAAATTCCTGAAACAAGCCTGAGAAGCGGAAAGGCTTTTGGCTAAGCAACTCGGGCAGCACCAAAATTGAGCCAGGAGTTTCAAAGCTCGCACCTCCAAGGGGGGCCAAATGAACAGCGAACTTGGCGCATCATTCATTTGGGGGGTTTCGAAGTTCGAAGGGTTCGGCGCTTTGTACCTCATATAGTTTTAGTATTGATTTAATAATTTTATTATTTTAAAACCTGATATGAAACCATAATCAAAACAGAATAAAAAACACACCACCATTACCTTCGGTTGTGCTGGGGCCTCTAAAGAGACTTCTGTCTTCATTTCTTCCCTAAACCGTCTATCACAAACCTCCGTAGAAGTGCCTTTCCCATCCGATCCTTTTCCTAACATTTCATCAGAGCACCCGGAGGCGGCAATGCCATAGCTGGGCTCGACAGGCTCCGGTTGGTGTCGCCGTCCGGCCTATACACCTTGCTCCAACCCCTTCTTGCTCCCTCAAACCCTTTAGGACGTATCCTGTGGTTGGATTTCTGGTTCACTTCGTTCATCTACTGGTTGACTTTCAAGAAGCGGTTAACAGGGCCGTGAAGAAAGGGTCAATTGTGGGTTAACATGTACACCATAAGACCCTTGTGATAGAAGTACGAAGTGAGTTCAGTTCATGAATGCGTTTATAAGGACGAACGAATGCAATGAATGCGAGGACGCATGAAACGCATGATTGAACGATTGAACGACACGTGCGGCCTATTTACTATTTATTATTGTGGCCGCAGTAATTCTACTATTTATTATTGTATTACGGGCACGAACTATAATCCTTATGTGCCCGTGTGAACGCCCTAATAATAGAAAGCTCACGGGCGTCCATAATATTATAATTACAAGGGCGTCTTTTCCCGCGTGAATTATAATATTTTAACTAGCCCGTGTCACTTCTTTCCATTACATTCTTTTCCTTCGCTCCTTTAATACCGTGAAGCGAATGCAATTACAAGTAAACGAAGTGAATAAATGAACGAGTTTGCGCGTGAATTGCATGAACGAAACAAAACCAGCTATTTACTTTCATAATCTTGTTTGCGCTTGTAATTTAATTGTAAACTTGTGCACGAATTAAATGACAAAAGCGCACACAATATTATTAAAGTGAAGAGAACTAAATAACCTCACAGAATCTCCCATTAAATTATTACGTGAATGAAGTGAATTAAATTAACGCAGTTCATGTATTCACGCTACATTCACACTAATAATTTGCCCTTTAATTTTATTTGCATGGCGCACGAAATAAGGCTTTTTGTACTGTGCGCCCTTAACTTCGTTCATTATATTCACCCCGGCTTTCATGCGTCCTTTTAGTCCTTATAAAGCCGGGTTAATATTACGAAGAGAATTCTATTTCAATGGTTTCAATGAACGAAGTGAAGCGAGAACACAATGAAATAGAATGAACGAAGAGAACGTAGTGCACGCCTCATAAAAAGACTTACTATTTGGCGTGCATTATTCTTTTCTCTATTTTTCTTCTTTCTTCATTCCTTTCCTAATTTTGCTTGTTGTTCAATTGAGTTCATGCGTCATTCATATCTTCACTGCTTATAACTCAATTAAACAAGCAAAATAAGAGAATTAGAATGAAGAATCCAGTAAAATACTTGGCCCTTTATTAATACTATTTGCGCATACTTGTAATATAATTCACGCGTATACGCAAATATTATTATAAAGGGGTTCGTTTCACTCACTTCATTCTATTATTCCCTTATTATGCCGGGCTAATTAGTAAGTCTTTTAGTATGCCCGGCCGTTACGGATAATAAACTGTCTTAGTTGTTCAGTAACCTGGAGGAATTCAAGGTTGACCTTTGGAATTATAAGGGGATGATACTACCCCAAAAAGGTGAAAGGTTACCTACTCTACTACTAGGCTTTTCTACGAAACCGATACACACGGAACATTAGGTGACTCATCGAAATCCTGAACACCTAAAACGCCTGCCGCCCCTAACTCCTAGATTCTGCGCCCTACTGACTAAAACCCCGAGAAAATTCTCGATCCCACACAGCTCAGCTCCGATGCCGTGATCCACAGCGCCGGCAGCAGCGCAAGTGCAGAAAGGGCCGTGAGCGGGAGCAGCAGATATCTTCGCAGCCATCTCAAAAGGCTCATGCTAGTCAGAGTTTGGGGTTTTACTTGCTATGGGAGGCCGGGAAATGCTTGATAGGGCAATGCACTTCATGAACTCGAAATGTGGCCAGGTTGTTGGATCACACCTTCCCCTGCCCGGGCACGATTCTGAAAGCGCACCCCCCCCCCCCCCCCCCCCGCATGTGACATCCTCGTTTACCCACGCGGCCAAGGAAGCATTGAACACCAAAAGAGCCGGAAACATCCACCACAACCTGCAACCCTCCCGCCCCTCATGCTTATTGCCCGAATCAGCAGTGCGCGCATGTTCTGAGCGCGCCGCCGCGCCGCTCACCATGCCACGAGACACCTTCTGAGGCAGCAATGCTACTGATCAATGAGTGACGCATGTCCAGACTTCTGACAGTGCCATCCTACGCAAACTCATGCAAGCTCCAAACCTCAGATTTTCGTTCCACAACTCCTAGCACCGCATGGGGTTGTGGTGCATCCTGTTTGCTTTGCAGAAACGTTGGCTCATTTCCGTGTGATAAGGGTGCCCTCGACGGCCTGCATCCGTCTGCTGGCATCGCGCACTAATGAAGAGCACACGGGGGCCAAGAATGCAAACTTCAACGTGGATGTTTCGCCCAAATAAAGGACTCCAGTGTGCACTCTCTTGTCCCCTCATTGCTGCGTGGGCACACGGCTAACCACTGCCGCGTCCACACCCGGCGTCATAACATGGTGAAAAAGTCAGACCCCAACCACCTGCAACCGTTTAGGCGTGGAAGGTGGGTCGCCATTGACACTAATGCATGTGTGCATCCGTCACGCTCGTTTTCGATCGTGAGTTGGCGAGGCGGCGTTTGGGAGGGGCATACGCACTGGCTAAAAAGCTCGCTGAGCTGCGGCGGGCGGAGGGTGCCGAGATGGCTGCGAAGTGTCAGCGACGAGACGGGGTGTGCCGGTGCAAGCTCTGGGACGGCCTCGGCATATTTTGGCATCATCCTCATGGGTGCGCGCGGTGCTTCCGCCCGCGTGTGTTCGCGCATATGCAATGCGATGTCGTGCGCCTCGGTGGCCGCGGCGGAGGCCCCCGAATCCTCCGAGCAGCGCCGATTGCGCTGCAGCGGACAAGTGCCCATCGTGGTCCATACATGCGGAGACGGCTGCCGTGAGGCTCAGCTCACGGGCAACGCGACGAATTCGGCCAGGAGAACTTCGTCCCGTGGCGTACCTTGCTCCTGTGCCTCGCAAAGGTTCGAGCTGGGCGATGGAATGCACTTGGCGGGCCAAGGTGTGCGGGTCAACCGGCCACGTGGCCATGTCAAGCCAGCGTTGGCCTGTGCACGCCTCTTGGCCCCATGCCATGGCACGTATGGAACCAACGTCGCAATCCGGCGTGGGCGGGCAGTGGCATAATCATATAGCCAGGCGTGGACTCGTCGACCTGAGTGGGGGTGGCGTCTCCCGTTCTGGGGGTCGCAGTGCAGCAACCACAATGCTCGCAGGGGAGGAGACAATCGTGTTTTTCGCGCTTGAGTTCCAGTCGACGATGGATGTACGCCAAGGACGGCGAATCCTTGTTGGTCAAGCGGCTGGGCCCGCACAAATGGCGATGTCCGGGTTTGTTTGCCGTGCGGATATTCGGGAGGCTCCTCCCCGACGGCATTCTAAATGCGTGCGTTGACGCGGTTGAGCTCAACGCGCACGTAGGCCCACAGTGCCCGCCGGCAGGCCTAGTAAAGTTCACACACTCGCCCCGGCGGAAACGATGCACGTGTCGTCGCGGTAGGCGAGGATCGCTTACTGAGCTTCCTCGAGCGCCAGCATGCGCCGGTTCTTGAGCGAGGGCGCACAGGGATGTACAGGGCGGGCATCAAGGGGTCACCCTACCCTGATTTGTTCCCCGCCTTCTCGCTGGGCGATGTGATGCACTTTGCACTTTGCACTTTGCCCGTGCGAGTCACGAAAACGACGGTCCTTTCAGGACAAAGGACAACGGACGGTGGGTTCTACGAGCTAATGAATGTGCGAGGCCGTGTCAAACTGTACAAAGACATGTCTTGTTGACGGCCATCTTGGCAGATGAGCTACATCAGACCACGAACTGCGTCCGGGGAACTGCGACATTACAAACTTGTTCAAGTCATCATCCCATCGCTTGGGGGGCGACCAAGTCGTCGTCTCGGCACACTATTAACATGCGTCACCTCTTAACCGTCCGCCCAGATGTAAGAGCTGGGTGTTGCGCAAAACTGGTCGGGCCAGGAGCGCGCCGAGCATGGCCTGGTGGGACCCATGGTCAAACCACGTCCACCATTATCGGTGGCTCTGGTGTCAACCTTGGCAGCCACGCGGAGGACTTGTGGCAAAGCCTCACGCCGGGACGCGTGCTCTGCCATGACTAGGAATAACTTCAGCATCCGCCGTTCGAGCTAATTACTGTTGTTGTTACCAAGGCGGTTGACGTTTGTTTCTCTCCGTTGTGTTGATTTTCTGCGTTCCTTGCAAGGGTTCAGGAGGGGCTGTTGTCACCACTAAGGCTGTTGCTGTTTGCGTCTGCGTCCCTCATTTCGTGCCTGGGATAACCGGGATCCCGCAGCGGGGTGCGTGTGGCAGTGTAGAAACTGTGCCCTTTCCCCATGATGAGGTTCTTTAGTTGACGTCGCTTTGGATGGTGCGTTCAAACGGCAATTGGTTTGTTTGTTGAAACAAGATACGCGAACCAGTCTGAACCAGCTGCACTCAGGGGTTCGGGAAAGTCTGGTTTTTTGTCAGGTGTTGCGACGAGGTTGGGATTAGGTTGTGTGAATCGCATCGCTGCAACAAGTAAAGGGATCGGGGTTTTATCGGTTTCTGGTGTTTCCATGAGGTTGGGGATTAGGGTGTTTGGATCGCACCTTGGCTGCAAGTGACGTTCTTTCTCATGTTTTCGGCTAAATTTGAGATGTTAGACTTCAAGGGCTTGCTTTCACCATGATTTTTTTCCGGACTTTTACGCCTGCTGATCCGTTCGGTCGGCTAAGCTGTTCCTAAACTACCCGGCTGTAGCTATGCCTGCAGTAGCAGCCGGCTTGGGTCGGGTGGCCCAGGCTCCAGGAGGCGGTCAAGCGGTGGGGCAGGCTCGTCGGCCGCGGTGGACGCGGACGGCCACGTACGACCCAGGGCCGTGGTGCCCACGGCCTGTTGAACGGCGACCGAGATGATGCTCCACCAACGTCTTGCCCAGCCGGATGCGGCCGCTCGGCGCTCTGTTGGCGGCATGCGGACCATGTCGCGCATGAATCGCAGGGCCCCGCCATTCCAGCGACCCCCGACCTCCGAGCCGAGCACGACGAGCCGCCGGGGCCCGCCGCCCGTGAGCTCCGGGTAGGCCGCCTGTTTGCGTCGTTCAGCAACGCGGAGCGCTGCCCCATCCGTGTCGGCGGCGCATGGTTGCGGCTGCCCCGTGCGCGTCAAGGGCGACACGAGGGTAGCGTCGCAGCACAGCGCGATGCCCATGGGCGTGGCCCCGTAAACCAGCATGTGCCTCGCTGTGTGTCTGTGTGTGCGTGTGGGGTGCGGGCAAGGATCAGGGGCCTCATCACCCTACAGCAAGCCTCTATACAGGGTCGGGGGGAATGAGGCCGAGGCCAGATTTCAAGATCAAAGGCTTGGTCGGGGGAATTGGGCGTCGAAGAAACATAAGGTTGGTAGTTAGTCACTGACCGCTCTGACCGCTCGACTACTGCTTGAGGACTCGTGCTGCTCCTGTAGCACAACGTTATGAAACATTTTTCTGCGATTCACAAAAACATCGCTTCCAGTTAAACCTGCATTAAAATGCCACGGCAATCTTCCCGCTCTTGGGCGTGCGCGTCCGTACCCGTCATGCGCGCACGGTGGTATACCTTCATGCGCAAGCAGGTGTATACACGTCGTGCACATGTAGCTGCATGCCACATGCGTCGGCACCTCGAGACAATTTGTTTCCGCCGCCTCAGGCACATGCAGCTAGTTAAAGCCGCATGTCTGTTCACGTCCGAGGTCGCACGCGTGTCTTCGGCAAAATGCATGCGCCCGCCTCTAAGGCGCACGTCCGGACTGTGCAGCGCAAAGCGCACCAAGCCGTTTCCACATCACGCATGCAGGTGGCATGGCACGGAGGACGGGTGGCGCAGTGAGGCCATCGCCAACGAACTCCTTTTTGGGGGGCCAAAAGGTTGTGGACACTGCTCGCTTGACGTCAACGCGCGGCTTCACAGCGGGTGCCGCCTACTGCGGTTGGCTCCCCTAGCGAAACAGCGGACGTATCGAAGCTTTGCTGGTTATCATGGTGCCGCCTGATCTGGCCCGCGACGTTGGTTTCGACAAGTGACCGCACGACATGTCACATGACACCGCACGCCGCTGACGTTTTGAGCTAGGTGGTCGACAGCTGTGTGCGCACAAGTTAAATGCGCGTGAGGCATGCGACTCTTCTGCGCATGAAAGGTACGGAGGTCTGCGCATCCGTTGCATGTGCGCATGGTGTGTATGGCAGCGCGCGCATGATGTCTACGGGTGCGCCGCACGATGCGTGCATGGCAGCGGCGGGGGCAGCGCGCGCCCAGCATTGGGCGAAGCTGGCGGGCGAACCCGGCGGTGGAGTCGTCGCTCCAGCGGCCATCGTTTGCACCGAAGAATCACATACATATCAAACATCCCGAGCCGCGCGAATCGATCGTTGCAGAACGGGTGAGAGGCGTGTAGTACGTAGCTTAAACGTACGAAAACGTTCGCACTGCTTGCCCTTGTTGCGCTGGGTGCTTTGGCACGTGGGCTCGCCCTGCCCGCCCCAAGCCCTTTCGACAAATTCCAACAGCATGTCACGCTGAACTGTGACAAGCGATGCGTTAGCTTGCTTTATCGGCCGACACTGGGGAGTGTTTTGTGCTAAGGCAGTCCGTTGGGCGTCTACTTGTGCATATCTGAAACATTCGTGCCGAGAATGTGCGCGTCGGGGAGAAACTTTGAAAAAAACAACCAAAAAACATAAGGGGTAGGAAGACACGGCAAGATACTGGGGTCTAGCATGTTTCGATATTTTCTCCTTGCCGCGAGCGGTCACAGTGGGCTGGTACTGTCGCGGGTCGAAGTCTTAACGATTCTGGAGCGGGCGTTGTGTAGATTGCCGTCGATTTTGTCCGCACACAGCTGTAAAAAAAAAACCGTATGTGCATGGCAAGCTTCAGCGAAGAAAACGCGACGTGCGCTTCTAGACCCTAGACCTTGTAGACTCTAGACCTTGTTCGCACACAGCTTTCGCTGACGCGTACGAATCCTATGAAAACGGCGTAGGCGCATGACGTATTCATGCCTGGTAGAACGTGCCGCGTGATGTGCGCAGATGGTTGGCACCTTTGCTCGGACATCGCGGGTTGACAACGGAGGAGGGCAACAACAACTGCCAGAACTGCATTCTGCGATTTCTTGTGCCGTGTGTCTGGGGCCGCATGTTTTTAGCTCCGCGTCCGAGGGCAGACGGTACTATGCTACGCGGTGCGAGTAGGATGGTGGATGCACGCCGTGAACTTCAAAGCTGCGATAGCAGCACTGTGCCTCCGCTACTAACGGACGGAGGCACAGCGGCTGGGTGCATCGAGCGTGGATTTGAGAACGGCTTCATGAACGTCCTCGAAGATCCTGCGGCGCTCAACGCGTTGAAGGACGAGAAGGCTGAACACAGCGGCAAGCAGAAAGAAAGAGATTACCAAGAAGAAGCAAGAGTAAACGGTTGGTGAGTCAAAGAAATTGAAATGTCAACTCAGCCAGGCTGAGCCCGCGGGGGCGCTTGCGGCCCTTGCCGCAATGAACATGAAGCATCGAAGCGCAAACATGAGCACAGCCGAGTCTGGCCGCATTCGTGCAGACCGAAGCGGATCCCATCTTCAATCCTGCTGGTCCGACTTGAAGATCGAGAACTGTTGGCTGAAAGAGGACATCAAAGACGTGAACAAAGAAAATAAAGGCCAGCAGAGCACATAAGTGGCCGCAACAGCAACTGCTGCAGAAGACAGCGCTGTATTTTCACGTCGCGGCAGCCATGCAAAGGAAAGCAAGCCCTCGGCAAAACTAGCAACAGACATGCTGGAATTGAATCGTCCTTGACGACTACTTTTGCGGACATGCATAGAAGCAGGCAACCCACTGCGAGCGGCTGTGTCATGCAGACGGCTATAAAGTTCGGGGGTCGCAAAGGTGCAGGCGGGATCCGTGAGATGCAGCGTCAACCTTGGCATGTGCAACTCGCACAGCTGACATGCGCAGCACCGTAGCGCACGAGCGAGGAAGCATATGCAACTCGTCGATGCAAACCCGACTGCGCTTCGCCGGCCTCAGCTTTGTGGGGCGTCACAGGGTTCTGCCAAGCATCCGCGTGTCGCTCCGAGGTGACATGGCCTTCGACTTGGGAAAAGCCGTCCATGGCGCAACTTTGAAGCACGACGCTTTCAACTTGACCGGATTTCCACATCCACCAACGCCTTTTCTCTCAGCACGTCTTTGACAAAGCTGTTTTTCGCGATGCTGGTGGACGACTTGCGACAAAAACGCAGTTGCCCGCGTGACTTTGCCCCTCCCGGCGATGTACGCCCGGCCCCTTCGTGAAAGTGCAGCGTTGAGGCAGCATAATCTCGGAATCTTCTTCCGCCGTCATACCCTGGCCCTCAAGACCACGCGCCGTTTGTGGTCCGGGTCATGCCTTGGGTCGGGAGGTGTGGCCATGCAGCTTCTTCGCGAAGCTTTCTGTGATCCACAAAACACACACTTTCTGCGAACGCTCGGAATGTTAGTTCCGTTCCTTTTGGCGTCTCGATGCGTCTCTTCTGCGAAAGCCGTCTCCGTTGCACGGTGCTGCGTGGGCACTCTGCTGTACGACGAAACCGAGAGCAAGGACACACACCGACACACACATGCATCGTTGAAAATGTTCTTCTGAGCGCTGCTTCGCCGCACTCCCACACGAAACCCTCTATCCATAACACCCTGCAAGCGACGAAGTGATGATTTTCCTTCTGCAAGGGACCAGAAGTCCACGGCATTAGCGCGGAGTTGACGGAAATGTCGGCTCCAGAGCATGTCAGGCCCTGGGCCAGAATTCAGCTTCTGCTGTGAGTGGCCATCCCCGAATCCAACCCCCAAGAGGGGGGTATAAACCCTAAACCCTAAACCCTATGGGTTTATAAACCCTAAACCCTATGGGTTTGTAAACCCTAAACCCTAAACCCTAAACCCTAAACCCTAAACCCTAAACCCTAAACCCTAAACCCTAAACCCTAAACCCTAAACCCTAAACCCTTAAACCCTAAACCCAAGAAACCCGATACTGTGTCGTGCGAAGATCGGAGAAGCCCAAAAGGTTGCCACGTCTGAAAGTAAATTTAAAATAGATGCCCTTAAGACAAGCTTGGCATGCCAGAGGATCCCAATTAGCGGACCGGACAACCCCACATGTCTATCTTTTCTTTTTCTTGAAAGCAATATCTGCGCCTGAACGATTATATAGGCATAGTGGGATGTGTGTGTGTGATGTATGTGTGTGTGTGTGATGTGTGATGTGTGTGTGTGTGTGTGTGTGTGATGTGTGATGTGTGATGTGTGATGTGGAATGTGTGATGTGTGATGTGTGATGTGTGAGGTATGAGGTGTGAGGCGTGAGGTGTGATGTGTGATGTGTGTGTGTGTGATGTGTGTGTGTGTGCATGTGTGTGATGTGTGCGTGATGTGTGCGTGATGTGTGTGTGTGTGCGTGATGTGTGTGTGTGTGTGTGATGTGAGTGTGATGTGTGTGTGTGTGTGTGATGTGTGTGTGTGTGTGTGTGTGTTGTGTGATGTGTGTGTGTGTGTGTGTGTGTTTGTGTGTGTGTGATGTGTGTGTGTGTGTGTGTGTGTGATGTGTGTGTGTGTGTGTGTGATTGTGTGTGTGTGATGGTGTGTGTGTGTGTGTGTGGTGTGTGTGTGTGTGGTGGTGTGTTGTGCGTGGGTGTGTGTGTGTGGTGTGTGTGTGTATGTGTGTGTGTGGGTGTGTGAATGTGTGTGTGTGTGTGTGTGTGTGGTGTGTGGGTGTGTGTGTGTGATGTGTGTGTGATGTGTGTGTGTGTGATGTGTGTGTGTGTGATGTGTGTGCGATGTGTGTGTGTGTGATGTGTGTGTGATGTGTGTGTGTGTGATGTGTGTGTGATGTGTGTGTGATGTGTGTGATGTGTGTGATGTGTGTGATGTGTGTGATGTGTGTGATGTGTGTGATGTGTGTGATGTGTGTGATATGTGTGATGTGTGTGATGTGTGTGATGTGTGTGATGTGTCTGATGCGTGTGATGTGTGATGTGTGTGATGTGTGTGATGTGTGTGGTGTGTGTGTGTGTGTGTGTGTGTGTGTGTGTGTGTGTGTGTGTGTGTGTGTGTGTTTGTGTGTGTTTGTGTGTGTTTGTGTGTGTGTGTGTGTGTTTGTGTGTGTGTGTGTGTGTGTGTGTGTGTGTGTGTGATGTTGGTGGTGTGTGTGGGTGTGTGTGTTGTGTGTGTGTGTGTGTGTGTGATGTGTGTTGATGTGTGGTGTGATGTGTTTTGTGTGTGTGTGGTGTGATGTGTGTGTGTGTGTGATGTGTGTGTGTGTGTGTGTGTGATGTGTGTTGGTGTTGTGGTGTGATGTGTTTGTGTGGTGATGTGTGTGGGTGTGTGTGTGTGTGTGTGTGTGTGGGTGGTGTGTGTGTGTGGTGTGAATGTGTGGGTGTGTGTGTGTGATGTGTGTGTGTGATGTGTGTGTGATGTGTGTGGTGTGTGTGGTGTGTGTGATGTGTGTGATGTGTGTGATGTGTGTGATGTGTGTGATGTGTGTGATGTGTGTGATGTGTGTGATGTGTGTGATGTGTGTGATGTGTGTGATGTGTGTGATGTGTGTGATGTGTGTGATGTGTGTGATGTGTGTGATGTGTGTGATGTGTATGTGGTGTGTGTGTGTGTGTGTGGTGTGTGTCTGTGAGATGTGTGTGGGCGACTTTGTGCGCGCCGACACCACCGGGGTCTTATAGAGTATTAAGTTTGGACTACAGGAAGACGATATTTGCGAGGTTTCTGGGGGTTGGGTAGCCCCAAGGCAGTGATTACCACGCTTTTGACGAGGTTTGGAAGCGTGCGGAAGTAGACTCCCACAGTATTTGCTTTTGGCTTGGGGGGACTTTGCGCGCGCCGACAACACCGGGGTCCTATAGAGTACTACGCTTGTACTACAGGAAGACGATATTTACGAGGTTTCTGGGGGTTGGAAAGCTCCCAGGCAGTGATTACCATGCTTTGTTACGAGGTTTGGAAGCGTGCGGAATTAGACTCCCACGGTATTTGCGACGTTTTGGCTTGGGGGGGACTTTGCGCGCGCCGACAACACCGAGGTCCTATAGAGTACTACGTTTGTACTACAGGAAGACAATATTTACGAGGTTTCTGGGGGTTGGAAAGCTCCCAGGCCAGGATTACCATGCTTTGTTACGAGGTTTGGAAGTTCTTCATGTGGAGTCTTGTGCCGGAGGCGCGGGCGGGCAGCGGGCGGGGCGGGGCGGGGCGGGGCGGGGCGGGGCGGGCGGTGGCGGCGGGCGGTGGCGGCGGGTGTGCCACAGAAAAACAAGAGCCCCACAGTGACGTGGGGAAAAAAGGGATGTCTCTCAAGCAGTTTGTGTATTTCAATTTACTAACCTTTAGGGTGGTTTACAGGGTTTTGAAGTTTAGGGAGTTTAGGGCCCTGGGATCCTCCGTCGGAAAAATGCCAGCGCAATGAGCATCGAAGATCTCAAGACCCTTTTGGGTCCGAGCGACGCCCCGAAGTCCGACGTCAGCAGACGTCACTCGCGCACACATGCACGCTCAAGCAAGTTTTTTGCGAATTTGCGGGCAAGGCTCCTGATGTACTCTCCAACTACTTCTCAACAGCTAAAGCCTAAAGACCCTGCTTAATCTTAAGAACGGCCTCAAACCAGATCACTGCGTTGCTTACAGCGAATTTCGTGCCAGCAAAGTAACATGTCTGTCGCTGTTGCCATGGTGATCGCTTTCGTGCTCAGGTCTCTGCAAAGGAAGCGGACAGAGAACACATGCTTGTCTACGAGACTCGACCCATCAGTGGCAGGTTACTTGCGCTTGCCACTCTGCCACATGGCCAAGCGACGAAACTAGACTCTTAGAGCCTGTACTTGGAGGTGCATGGTACTTATTAACCAATTATAACTGTACTTATAACCCACTTATACGCCTCTTAAGTGCCCTAATATGGTTATAAGTACAGTCATAGGTACAGTTATGATTGGTTAATACGTACCATGAACCTCCAAGTTAGCATTAAAAAAAGCCCCAAGGCCCCCAAAGTGCAAACCGCGCCCGGGTTCAGCTCAGCGTGTCAAGCGTTCTCTGCGCACCTAAACTCCGGCGAGGGCACGGTGTTGCTTAGAGCTTAGAGCCTGGTCTTATCTGCGTGTCCCTAGGCACTTTCTTATCAAAAACCTTTTCCATGCACGACCAAGTTGCAAGGGTCGGTATGTGGGATGGCTGGAATGTCTTTTGTTTGGTTGGCAGTCACACGGAACAGAGGGACCTGGCAAGACTTGAAGGGTGTTCAGGAGGCATGGGAGTGAGGGGGCGGCTCAAAATCTGTAGGTGACAGTGTTTAGGGTTGCTTCAGCGACACGGGATGAGCATTACAAGCATCTTTATGGGCCTTGGCCCTCTCTGAAGCCCGGCAAGTGTGCCACATGATGCACAAGAAGCCCTCTCTCAACTGGTGATCTTGACATCCCCCCAAACTCAGCCCGCACAATCTTACAGGCGGTTCTAGAATTGGGGACTTCGGTTGAAGGATTGCTCCCAGAGACAAGAAGGCCTTTAGGGTGAGATCGGAAGCCGCCCCCTCCCCCCCCCCCTCCCCCCCTCCCCTCCCCAGGAGGAAACTGTCGTTGTGAGCTCCTTTCTGCATGTTGTCTTTTTTGAATAGGAGCCAAGTCTCTCTTCTGCAGACAAAATCGGTTTCACAGGGGAGGCTTCGTTGTTGCCACACCCGTTCTGCTCTCGCGAGTCTCGTTGCCGGGTTTGCTGGGATCACCCGTGCAGTGAGGAGCTGTTTGGAGGCAGACTGTGGCTTAGGGTTTCGAGGGGTTTTTAGGGGCTTATAAGGTTTTAGGGCTTATAAGGCTTAGGGCTTAGGGTTTGCAGATCCAAACTGCGGGGGTGCCTTCTCGGTAGGCTTTTGTTTGGGGGGGGGGGGGGGGTCGGGCCTTCTCAACAGAAGGCCCAAGAAGTTTGGGCGCGCCGTACAACTTCTTGAGGATTTAAGGTTGTTCAGGGTGCAAAATGAAAGCGATCTGAAAGACTCGACACCAGACAAAACCCCTACTGCATACCCCTGAAGGCCCTAAACTAAGCCCTTCTACTACTGCGAGACTTGAGCTATCGGGGTTGAGTTTTCTGGGTTTGTGTTCGAGTTTCCTGCGAATTGGGGATAGGGCCGTATGTTTGGACCTCGAATTGCAAGTGAAGCACTGGTGTTGCTGGCTAGCGACCACTAATGTTCACCGCGACATGAACATGGGTGGCATTTTTGAAACCCTTAGCCTGAAATGCCGCCGCCGCCACCAAAGAAGTATCGCAGCTGCAGGAGAAGCGCCAGCACAACGAGGAGGAAGGAGGAGCGAGCTTGGTAGAGGAGAAAAAAAAAGGTGCTGCTGAGACAGACAGCAAGGTATGCGTGTGCCGCGGCACCGCTGACGACAGTCAGAACACCCTTCAAGCATGTGGACTGGATGGACAATGTGCCTTTGAGCATGCGGAGATAGATGGGGTAGACGATTGGGAAGACCAGCAGTATGTTTGTCATCCAGCCGATCGCGCTGGCCCACAGAAAGTCTGCATACGATTCGGCTCCGTACGATGCAAGGGACTCAGGGTTGGCGACATTGAGAATGTCCACTAAGGAATAAAAGTTCAAGGGCATAGCAGCTGCAAGGCATGTGCGGTAGGGCACGTGAAGCTCACCCCCGACAGCGTCCAAAACGCTGGAACGCAAGGACTCCTGAACGTAGACGTTGAAAGCATCTAGGGGTCTTTCGTCCATCAGCATGCAAACTGGCTCGCCGGGCAAATAGGAGAATGCATCCTCGTCTGCCGCAGTGGATGCGGTTGGCTGGTGGCCTGCTTTCATCTCATTCTTCTGCTCAGGCCCCTCAGGTTCCGTCACTTCAGCACGAAAAAGCTCCCGAATCTGACGCTGCACCAGGCGGCGGTCTTCCTCCTCCGTGCACTGAGCACCCCGGCAGTCGAAAGACGCCATCTGCTCCAGCATCAGGGCATGGCTCCTCAACTTGATCTTGAAGGGGGAGGACCAGGCCAGCGCCACCAACAGCCCCAGAACTGCTGTGCCCATCGCCTTGGTCATCAGATAGCAGGGCGGCAGCTACAGCGTAGCGACTGCACGAAAACTAAACTGCAGAAACACAAATCCTGCTGCCCGCTGTTTCGACCCAGTCGCAGCACCTGAGAACACGCCAAATGGCGTCTGCCAGAAGCGGGCCGGTGCAACCGCGTTCAGGAAGGAAACAAGCTTATCCGTAGTGAGGACCTCCTTAAAACATTTGCTGTCGCAGGATCTTGCTTTTGAATGCGAAGACCTACGGAAGCCGAACACGGTTGCTAGGGAGCACACATTTCGAGTTGTTCTACCCCATACTGGTAGGGAGAGGAACCTCCAGAATCACTATCTAGGATGCCCCTTGAAACCCTCTGAAATATATTGCTCAATTTAGCTATAGCCTCCTGAAACCGTGTATGGGAGTTATTGGGGCCCAAACCCTATACCCTAAACCCTAAACCCTAAACCCTAAACCCTAAACCCTGCCAAAAAGGCACTTAAATTAGGGCCCCAGGTTCCATCTGAAGGTAGATCACCGTGACGAGCGTGAGGTTCATGGCCAGCGCCTTGGTCGCACCAGCAACCATGCCCTACAAAAAGGACCCGAAACCCTAAATCCTAAACCTGATAAACCCTAAACCCTCAACCCAAAACCCAAAACCCGAAACCTCCGTTTTGGGTTGGTCACTTTGTAAGAGAACCTTGAACCCCTAAAAATGAGGTAGAATTGGACCAGGATGCCGAGAGAAGCCATGGCGCAAGCCATAGTGGCAGGAAGGTCACCTAGCTGCGAAGAAGCCCCATACACCCCCCGGCCCCCCGGCCCCCCGGCCCCCCGCCACGCCCCCCGCCCCCTCAAGGATTGAGTTGTCCCGAGTCCTTTTAAGCCTTTCCCGGGCTGTTTATAGAAACTCTCTGCCCGCAAAAGCTTAAACCCGAAACCCTGAACCCCAAAGCCCCAGCAAGTTGCTTTTTGGGAGAATCTTGGGGTGGGGTGGGGGAGGGGGGGGGGGGAGGGGAGGGGCGGGAAGACATGCAAATATAGGTTTTGAGGAGCCTCTGGGCTGGTTTGCCGCCCTAAACCCTGAACCCGGACTCAGAGCCTGGTTATATGCCTTCTTGCTATGAAGAGCACTGCTCGGGTTTCCAGAAAAGTTCGCGAGAGCTGCTCTGGTGACTGTCTGCTTGTGGCCGTCTTGAGGGCATTCGGGGGGGACAGGTTCACACTTCAGGCTGTCTAGACATCAACGCATACCCTAAAGAAGCGCTTCACATCTTAAGCCGCTTAAACCCTGAACCTTAGACACTAAAAACTCCCAATTCAAAAATCCCTAAGCTCTCTAAACATCCTGAACCTTGAGGCGGCCGAACCCCCCCCCCCCCGCCCCAACACCTGAAGGACCACGCGAACCCTAAAATAAATCCATATCAAGGTGTATTTAAACCCTTTTGGGTTCATTTAGTCCCCACTTGGAGGTTAACTCTACTTACAAGTGGTTATAACCTTCTTCAGGGTACTTGTAACCCTACTTATGACTACCCATGAGCCGTCAAGTAGCCCTAAACCCTAAACCCTAAACCCTAAAACCTTCAAGCATGGCATTTGAGAAATTGAAGCAGACCTTCGCGACCCCGCCGTGCTTGGCGAAGGTGGCCAGCTCCAACCTTGGCTCTTTCTCTGACATCCGGGTTTAGGATTTAGGATTTAGGGTTTAGGGTTAGGGTAGGTTCAGGGTTGAGGGTTTGGTTCTTCCTTCCTGCAATCGGAACCCGCTTAGCCCTGAACCCTAAATCCCATAACAACAAAAAAAGGACCCCCCCCCCCCCCCCGGGCCCCCGCCAAAAAAAAGAAAGATGGTAAACCAAAAGCCCTTAACCCAAAACCCCCAGATCCAGGGCAACAGAGTAGCTGGCACCAGAGGCGCTGAAAATACTCATCGTCCCACAGCCTCAGAGGATTCGGCGCCCAACGGATGTTTTTAAACATCGGTCGGTTTAAGGTGAGGGTTTTGGGTTTTGGGTTTTGGGTTTTGGGTTTTGGGTTTTGGGGGTCTAGGGAAAAAACCCTAAACCCTCGGTTGAGGTTTGGGTTCACCCGAGCGAAGGCATCAAGCCAAGCCGCACCAGCATGGTTGACGACCGGGCGACGAACACGGGTAGTGCGTGAATCTGTCGAATCTTTAACGCCTGGTCCTTGGGGACCGAAGTTTAAGGCTTTCATTTAGGGCGACTGGTCATTGGCTCGGGCTTTCAGGAGAAACGGGCGAGAAAGGGCGGTTTTTCAGCGTTTGCTTCACCAAGGGTCCGTCTGGTGGATGCACGCGCGATCCAGCCAAAGGCGTAGCTGCTCGCATGGGTGCACTGCATGGTGGCCCAGGAAGAAGGCCAGAAGAAACACGGCCACGGGGAAGAAGACGAGAGCAGGAAGCAACCTCACAAGTGTGGAGGTCGGCACTAGTAACCCGCACTAGGAGGTCGCCTCACGCCTGAAGCGACCTCCAACACAGGGCACTTGTTGAGCCCTGATGTCCGTCCTAATCGCCCTATAGCGCCCCCTAAAGAGCTCCCAAAAGGCTCCCCAAAAGGCCGCAAGGCCGAACCGAGAAGCACCGGGTGGTGGCTGAGGCTGGGAAGGTCCCCATGGCTGGCGGCGACAAGGACCAGAGCAGCCAGCGACCACGCTGCCAGTGAGCAGACCACGGCCACCGGCAGGTTCCTGACCCGCAACTATAGAAGCAAGGGGTTTAGGGTTTAGGGTTTAGGGTTTAGGGTTTATAGGGTTTAGGGTGCGGAGCTGCTGCTGGTATTGTAGAAAGGAGTTAGTGTTGGGTGTTGAAAGGGTCAATGTACCCGGAAATCTCTTTTGGCTCAAGACTGGGCCATGTGCCTGGTAGTAAAAGGTGAGTGCCCTGTGGTTTGGGTTTGTTGTGTGGTTGATCCAGGGAAATCAAGGGATTCTGTTGGGGTTGACTTTTCGGTTTCTCGTCCCCCTTCGGGTTCCCCCCGTAGGTTATGAGCCCAAATTAGGCTTCCTGCGGTGTAGGTAAGATTCTACACTTGTTTGGCGCAATGGACATGTTGCGGCGTCGGTCGGAACCTGGAGTGTCATCCGCGGCCAATGAAGCCGAAGAAAATCGTGGTGATGGGGGTGAAGAACGACAACAAATGGTACAAGCGCTGACAGATGGTAGGGAGGTTGCAATGATACAACCAACGTCTCAGGTGGAAAACGAAGTGGTTCCGGTTCCAGCAGCGAATCCTTTCTGGAGCGAGCGGGCTCATGAAGAAATGAGACTGAGGCAATCAAGGCCAGCAAGTCTTCCTGCGAGCGGAGGGGATAGGAGTGGTGAAGAAACAAGAAGACCACCGTCGTTGCCAGAACTTCGGGATCGGGAACCTGTTCCAGCTGAGAGGCCATCTTCAGGTTTGATGGGCCAGATGGAAAGAGGGAATATTGGTGAAACACACGGCGAGGAAGAGCTTATTCCTGATCTGAGTGGTGAAGAACAAGGTGAAGATATGGCGGTGGTAAAGCGTGCGCTGAAAGAGTTGCTTGTGCAAACAAAGGAGCTGGGGAGCAGATTGCATCGGGTGGAGGAGAAAAGTTATACCTCTGCTGCATCTGGGTCAGCTTCGAGAGCACGGAGCACTGGAGTGGTGGACGCAAATGCTGCATATCCGTTGGGAATGACTCCAGAGAAGCAGTACTTGCCAGGACAAGTTTTCTACACTGATGGTATGGGTGGCTTCTGGACTGTGTTGCCTGATGGGACATGGCTGCCGATTGAGGGCTACGACCTTCCAAAGGGTTGTGACCTTCAACCCTTGCCTGAGCCCAGGAAAGGGGAGGTTCACGTGGAGGATGAGAAGGAAGTGCCAATGATGCACGTAACTGAAGGGAAGAAACCCTCCAGATTGCCTCCATTGAATTACCCCATGGGAGGTTCTGCAAGTGGTGGATATGCAAGTGGACCACCTGGTTTAACACATGTTCCGATTACTTCCTTGCCGTCAGGCGTTGATGGTTCTGCCGCACTGTTGGGAAATCAGCCCGGTTTTGTCTCAGCTCGGGAAACTTCAATGCAAGAGAACTCAGCAGGATCGGGTGGATATACAATGGTGGATGATGTTCCATATCGGTGGAAAATGATTGCTGGGAAGTTGGAATTAGAGAAGGTTCCGCTCACAGCGTTTATGCCCGGAATGGGACATGGACTGCCGCAAGGGCCTGGTGGAAAGGTCAGCTTACCTCCTGGAGCTGTGGTGCCACGTGGGATGCCAAACATTGGTGATAGTTCTGGAACTGAACGTCCGGAGGCTCTTGGGAAGCATGTGATGAGCCTTCCTACTTTGGCAGACTACACACCAAGCAATCCGACGGCACTAGGTGATTGGATCGCAATGATCGAACCAATGTTGTCTTCGCTGACAGATACAGGAAGAGTGTGGTGGCAATCCGTCTATACAAAGGCGTATGAGGCGTACGCCAAATGGTTGAGTGTTTCTCCGCTGGAAAGGTTGGGCATCAAGGCTGAGCTGGAAGGGCTCAAGGGGGTTCGAACTGTGCATGTTTTGTTGGAGCAGAGAGCGGTGTCTTTGCTGCTACAAGCGATCCCGGAGAGGTTGAAGACCGAGATCGTTTCCACTCGAATGTTGGGGTCGGTGATGATATTTTACAAGTTGCTGACAGTTTACCAACCAGGTGGAGCAAATGAGCGCAGCACAATGTTGAACTTCTTGGTGCAGCCATCCTCAGCAACCTCGATTTCGGAGGCTATTAAGGGAGTGCGACAATGGGCGCAATGGCGTTCCCGGTTAAGGGAGTTGCGAGCATCTGAGCCGGGTGCTACCTTGCTTATCAAGGGATTGGATGCTTTATCATCCGCGTTGCTGGCAAAGCACCCTACGGTGCATTTTAGAGTGGCATCCTTCCGGGAGAAATTGGGGGTGGACTACTCGCCGACCTCTGAAACTGCGACACAACTAGCTGAAATGTTACAAGCAGAATTCGAACTGCTATTGCATAGCGCTGGTGAACAAGAGGTGAAGCAGGACTCGGACGCCAAGAAAAGGGCCAGGTTGAACAAGGCCCAAAAGGGAACTGGTGACGAGACGGAGGAGGGTGACAAAGGCAAAGGGAAAGGAAAAAGGTACAGCGGAGATGGTGAACGTCCTTTCTGTTGGATCTATGGGAAAACAGAAGCAGGCTGCAAGTTCGGATCACGTTGCAAATTTCGCCATGACAAGGACTCCCTGGAGCGTGGAAGATGTTTTGAATGTGGGGCCATTGGCCATTTACAGCCGCAGTGTCCATACAAAGATGGTGTAAGTTCCAATGCGGACTTAAATCCTGAAAGGAATAGATCTAAAGGGAATTCTCCCAAAGGGGGAAAGGGCGGCAAAGGTGCAAAATGGGGAAATGCCAAAAGGGCAGAAGTGGCTGAAGTGGGAGATGAGATGGCTAATGCGGGGTTGGATAAAGGTTCTGCAAGTCCCTCATCACCATCAACAACCAATCAGGTCCTTGCTGAAGCGTTGGAAGTGCTGAAATCTATGAAGCTGTCATCAGCGCAGTCAGCATCAAGCGGAGATCCCAGTGTTCGAATGTTATGTGACTCTGGATTATTTCAGCAGGACGGGAGAGTGGCGTTGGTGGATACAGCTGCTACGCATCTTGTGCGGACGCTTTTTCCATGGGAATGTTTACCCGACACTACTGTTATGGTGCAAAGCGCGCTTGGTGGTGTGACAATGAGGATTACAGAGAAAGGGACGTTGATTAGGGAAGACAATGGGCCCCTGATTATCCCTCTCTGGTTGATTTTGGAGTTTGGGGCGAACCTCACCGTGATCAATGGGATGTGTCACGTGAGTGCAAAATCTTCGCTGGACCAACTCTTATGGTTTGAACATGGCTGTTTGGTTATGGATTACAAAACAGCTGAGAAAATGGTTTTGCATGCTGAAAGGCAGCGTGCGTCGTTGTCCCATTCTCAATGGAGGAATGGAAGGGCGGACTGTGGAGTCGGTTCGTCTGATGCCACGTTGTTGCCGAAGCAGGGAGAAGGCCGAGGAGTATGCGTTCTACATGTGGCCAGGGTTTCTGACACCAATGAGTGTTCGGGAATGGGCATGTTGGACTCGGGAGCATCACATCCTCTCAGATCACTTCGTCCTGGTGAACAGCTTCCGCAGCAAAAGGTGTTGGTGTCTTTAGCTGTTGGATCTCAGGAGATGTGTATTACCCCAGGTGGGACCCTGGTAACTCCTGAAATGGTAGATCCACTAGTGCCAATTGGCAAAGCGAGCGCCTTGGTTGGTCTCAGAGTTCAGTGGCGTGGTGGCAAGTGCACAGCCTCACATCCTGTTCTGGGAGAACTTCGCGTTCGTGATCTGAATGGGTGCCCTTGTTTGGAAAAGGAGGTGGCGCTTCAGATCATTGATGAAATGGATTGGTGTTCACCAAAGCAAGCATTGAAGGTGGCACGTATGGTTCAAGGGTGTCCGAATACGGACAACGAGGTGGCTGTAAAAGCGTCGTTGCAAAGCGCAGCGCGGACAGCGTCAGCGAATGAGGAGGAGTTCGTCCAGGCATGCTGGCGGTTTCTTCGGTGGTATTATGGGGATATACCAGAAAATATGCTGATGGAGCTGTTGCCACGTGGAGATATTGCGGCGTTGCCTTTCAACCGTCATAAAAGGAGACGGCTGGCACGAGCAAAAAGGGTGGTGGTACACCTATTTTCGGGAAAACAAAAATGGCATTTTCCCAGTCGGGATGTGGAGGTACTGGAGCTGGATTTGAAGAAAGGCGGTGACCTACATAATTCGAGCGTCTGGAAGTATCTTCTGCATCTGGCGGCTGAAGGAAAGGTGGTTGCTGTGGTTGGAGGACCTCCATGCAGGACAGTGTCAAGGTTGAGAGGTGAAGACGGTGGTCCACCTGTATTACGCCGACGCTGTGGGCCTGAACGGTTGGGATTAAAGAGTCTTCCTTGGCCACATCAAGAATTAGCTCAAAAGGATGGTGTTTTACTTCTGAAGATGCTTTTCCTATATGACGTGGCGGTGCATTCAAGGTGTGGAACTGCTGAAGTCATCAATGGGAGTTCTGTCTTCTTTGGTATGGAAAGCCCTGGGGACCCTGAACTCATAGGGAAGGATTTCTCTCAGAACGGCAAAACGGTCTTGAGTGCTGAGGATCTGGTGGATAGTTCTCAGGAAGGGCTCTCAAGTCCTACCTTCTGGAGTTGGCCAGAGGTGAAAAGCTTTTGTGAGCGTTATGGAATGTACGCTGCACATTTTGATCAGGGAGCATTGGGACATGCTCTGGTGAAACCTACGACTTTCCTGGTGTCTGATATGGAACTGTGGGAATCGTTGGAACAGGTTCGCGTGGTTGTTCCGTGGTCGGCAACATTCGCTTCTACCCTGGAAGAACGTATTGGGCAATCCTCCATATGGGCGCGATGGGCGTTTGGATTGGTTAAAAGAATACGTCACAGGTTGGCACAATGGTTGCATGAGAGCGATGCTGAACGGGAAGCTATGGTGTTAAAAAAGGAAGAACGAGAAGGGACGTTACGGAGGCTGACAACGGAGGAGCGAGCTTTCCGTGACCATTGTCTAAGGGGGCATATTC